GGAGCAGCTGACGGGTTCAAACCACTGACCTCTCGGTTAGCAGCCAAGTTAGCAGCACCACCAGGGCTCCTTTGATGCACACTAAATCCACTTAAATATGAAACGAAGGCAAAACAACTGGAAGAATTATGGTAACAGAACAGAATGTAAGTATTATAAGTTCTGACTGAAAACAGCTAATAATCATTAAAATTTGTGAAGTAGGGAGAGGTCGGAAGACACACTAGAGTGCCATCATTTTGAATTTCACAGCAGAAAGCCAGCCCATGCTGCCTGCCATTTAGACATCCTTCAAAAATACTATCATTTCTCCAGCCTTTAGTAGCTTCCTTAATCTCTTGTCTTATCTGAAAGTCCTTTTTGGGACCTAGTATCTCTAGCAGTAAAGAAATATTTACCCAAAGTTCAGAGATGTCTTCGGTTTCACTTGAGGACAGTGTTGTGAGGTTAAGAGCAGGGACCTTGGAGCTACACTGCTGGGGTTTAAACCTTGGCTCCGGGACTTCACTGCAGGATAACCTTAGGCAAGTCATTTAACTTCCTCATGCCACAGTTTTCTCATCTTAAAACTGAGACAGTGATAATGCCTAACTCAGAGTTGCTGTGAAGACTGAACCTGTAAGGCACTTGAAACACTGCCCGGCACGAAGGAAGCCCCATAAAAGGGTTGATTATTAAGGTGATGATGATGTTTCTCTTTCTTCTGGTAAATTCAAGAAAATTTAAATAAAGCATGTTTTACTAGAAAACATATTGAATGTATTCTATCTATGTATCCATCCACCTATGCAACCATTCTTCTATATGAATAAAGAGAAGCCTGAAATCACTGTTCACCAAATGTTACGTTTGCTTATTTCTGTGAATTTTGAATAATTTATTACTATCTTCTGTGTACTTTTCAGAATTGCTTACATTTTTTCATAATGGTCATGCATCTCTTTGTGAAAACAATTAAGCCTTTAACAACATCAACAGAAAACAAGCTTTCCCAGTTTACCAACAGCGTATTAAAGTGCTCACTTCTCTAATACCCTTATCTATTTGCTTCTGTTAATTTTTTCCCCACTGACATTTTTCTATTGAAAACATTATACTAATAATTCATAGAAGTTCTATGTATGTTAGGAACAGTTATTATCAGTCGGCCATTTATGTTGTAAATATTTCGCCAAGTTTATCATTCGATGACAAAAAGTTTTGCTGTACAAAAGCTTTTTCCATTTCAGGTGGGCACAGTTGTCAATCTTTTTCTTTATAGCTTCTAGGCTTTAATTTATGCTTAAAAGATAGTCTCAATTTCAAGATTTAAAATATTTGATCCATATTATTTATTTTTAAATTTAAATAGTTGATGCATACAGAATTAATTTTTCTGCGAAGAGTGGAAGGTTATGAGTTTTTTTCCCAAATTGCTGGCTAGCTAATTATCCCAATAATAATTACTGAATAATCCACTCCCTGCCACCACCACACTTTATTAAAATGCCTCATATTCTATGCTAAATTCACATATAAAGTTTGGTCCTTTATCTCAACTATGATTTTGAATCAACCTATATGTCTACTGCTGCAACAGAAGAAGGAGAGTCAGGAGGAGGAGGAGGAAAGGGAACGTGTGGCTGATTACCTCTATGAACAACTGCCTCCTTTGCATGAGCCCAGAAGAACTGGATGGTGCCCAGCTACCATTACTGAATGTTTGGATCTAAGATTCTATACAGAATCCTGATCAAAACGGGGAAAATGCAGAGCAGAATTTCAGATTCTCATGGACTCCAGACTTTCTGGAGCCACTGAGGCTGGATGAACT